TTACAGTCTGGGGTTGAAGTTTGTTACACTTTGTAAAACCTTCATAGAGTTTTAGGAAACTTTGGCGGAAGCTTTTGTTATGATTAAGAGATAATTTCTGAAGCAAACCTTTTAAACTTTTTTGACATGATAAATTTGAAGCTAATTTAAGACCAATAAATAAAAAAGCCTATATTAAGTGGGAGATGTGGCATTTATTCTGTTTGTTGATTGTGTTGAGTAATTCTTGACTCTGTGGACACAGACTTGTCTATTCTTTTAGACATTTCTTTGGAGTCCAGTATTTTTTGTATTTGCCTTTATCTAGTCTATTGTAATATTTAGAATGAATTCAATGATACATACGAGAACATGACTTACTGAAATGCTCAGTTTATATAAAATAAAGTGTATATAAAAAAGAAGATGCAGTATGTCTTGCAAAACCTCAAAGGGTCTGACAAGGGGGACAAGTCTGTCAAACTCATTGTCTGACAGACTTGAAAAGATTTCAACAGCTCTGTAAATGGTCAGAGTTTACCGTTTTTGTCTCGCCTTCAACGATAGTCTCAGAATGCGATACATAGGGAGTACAATCAGGTGGCGGCGTAAACTATTTGTTCTTAGCTTTATATTTCAGAGGTTAGTGAACCTGGAGGCTTCTTACCTAGCATACAAATGCCTTATATTATGAAGTCTACGTCAGTCATATATCCGTTGTCCTTTACCTCATTTTTGTGGTTCAGCAACTGCTTGATTTTTTAAAGTGTTTTTGTGAATTTCTCAATTATTATGAGTAGCAGGATAATTATATTTGGTATATGTGTTCCTTGCAAGGTCTACATACATGTTCGTTAGACAGGGCGTATCTGACCTCGTCCTCATTTGTGGATCAGTGATAAATGTTAAAGTAACATGATACGGTCGATTTCTCAAATTCTGTATGCGTAAGGCCAATTACATTTGGTGTATGGAATGACTGTAAGGTGAACATTTCAATCGGTCAGATTTCGTCTGACCTTGATCTCATTTTCATGGTTCATTTGTCAATGTTAAGATTTTGTGTTTTGGTCTTTTCTTTCTTATACTATAAGCAATATGTCATCTTTATGTCTGTCTGGCAGGGTCCATCTAACCCTGACCTTATTATCATGGCTTATTGGTCAATATGAAGTTTTCATGGTTTGTTTCTTGTAAGCAATATGTCAACTATATTTGGTGCACAAATGTATGTAATGATTATACGATACATTTGTCTGTCTGGTTAATCTTACCATAACTTCATTTTCATTGATTATTAATAATGCCAAGTTTATGTGATAATTGTAGTAAAACTTCATATATATGATTATCAACATGAAATAAATCATGAAAAGAAAAGCAGGCGAGACAATTTAGGCAAGGTTCATAATCATGAACACAACAACGTTCTTATCCATATTAGCATTCTATATAATATTTTGTGAAAAAAAAATGTATCGTAAGATTGAACCTCCCCATTAAACTCACAAAACCCCCTTTTCATAAATTCCCTTGATAGATGCACTTGCTTTTTTCAATTAATTCAGTGGAGACATGCATACATCTATATACATCTTCTCAGACATTTAATCTTTACATATATATATCTTAAAATCTGGTAATCGACCTCTGAAAACAAATGGTATAGTGGTTGAGGAAAGTGGAAACTACAGTACAGAAAAATGTTGATACTTGAGATATAACAATTTGTGATAAATAATTAAACCAACTTTTTCGCAATTTCCGTCTTTACTATTGCCTTGGTTTCGATTTACTGCCCACAGCGGCGCTCACAGTGCTTTGATTTGCTTATAGTAGATATAATCTTCATCCTGTCTGACTATTTTAATTTTGGAGTAAAAGACTGAATTCAGTGTTAACTTGTTAATTTAATACGTCGAATAACGAAATCATGTGCATTTGGATTGAAAAATTTTCAAAAATAATGAGACAACATTGGGGAATTTTACTGAAAATCGAGGGCGGCAAACTTTTCCTTAGAACTTCTGTAAAGTGAAGTCAGGATTCATAGGGCGACAAAATTTCTAGGTTTATTTCCATTGTTATAATAAACTATTGTGTGCTTGCTTTCATATATATGCACCTATTCAACTTTTCCTTTTCAGCACACTTTAGACGTTTATATGTGCTATGTGCTTTAATTCATATATGGTCAGATCATATGTTTTCGTACGTCAGATGAATTCGTAATATGCAAGGTTTTTCAATGAAAATTGTGACGTCACAATGCATTCTTACATGTAATAGCACGAAAATCCATAATAGTTATCAAAGGTACCAGGATTATAATTTAATACGCCAGACGCGCGTTTCGTCTACATAAGACTCATCAGTGACGCTCAGATCAAAATAGTTATAAAGCCAAACAAGTACAAAGTTGAAGAGCATTGAAGACCCAAAATTCCAAAAAGTTGTGCAAAATACGGCTAAGGTAATCTATTCCTGGGATAGGAAAATCCTTAGTTTTCCGAAAAAATCAAAGTTTTGTAACAGGAAATTTATAAAAATGACCATATAATTGATATTCGTGTCAACACCGAAGTGCTGACTACTGGGCTGGTGATGCCCTCGGGGACGAAACGTCCACCAGCCGCGGCATCGACCTAGTGGTGTAAATAGTTATCAAAGGTACCAGGATTATTATTTAATACGCCAGACGCGCGTTTCGTCTACATAAGACTCATCAGTGACGCTCAGATCAAAATAGTTATAAAGCCAAACAAGTACAAAGTTGAAGAGCATTGAGGACCCAAAATTCCAAAAAGTTGTGCCAAATACGGCTTAGGTAATCTATTCCTGGGATAAGAAAATCATAATACGAGGATATATTTTTATCAAATTTTGCTTTTAAATTAAATTGAAAATGTTTAAACAAATTCCTTTTACCTGTCACAAAAAAATGAGAGTACACAAAAATGTTTTCCTTCTCTCTGTCTTGTAGTCCACAGAGTCTAGAACTGACATCCAGTAATGAAATTATACTAATGGAAAGTATAGAAGTATTCCGAAAGAATGGATTTGATTTTATTGTGGATGAACAAGGTAATGATTAAAATAATGCATTAGTTTTATTCAAAGTTAGCATGGTTTAATAAACAAACTTACACAACAAATAGCCTCTACTGAGCTTTTAATTGGCATCTATTACAAAGGTAAAAGTAATCTGTATTAAAAAAAATTAAGAAAGCATAATATTTGTTTTCTGTCCTCATTTTGATAGTGTGAATAATTCCTCAACAATAAAATGGTATGAAAAAAATTAAAAAGACAAACAGACAAATAATAGTACAGATGACACAACATAGAAAACTAAAGACTAAGCAACAAGAACCCCACCAAAAACTGGGGGTGATCTCAGGTGCTCCGGAAGGGTAAGCAGATCCTGCTCCACATGTGGCACCCGTCGTGTTGCTTATGTTATTACAAATCCGGTAAATAGTCTAATTCGGTAAGTCCCATTCGTGAAAAGGGAAGGATTTTGTAGTTACGACATAAGGAACATATCCGATATCATCTGTGAAACGGTTATTCCATAACGGTCAACCAACTCGTGATGGTGTCCGTAAAATTTACGAAGGGATGACTTCAACTTCACCATTTGGAACTCTTGGCTTAATAGGTTCCTTGTGAGCAGCAATCCTCTATCAAGGAAATCATGATAGGAAACACAAGCCGGGGAATATCGTATCAATTGGGAGATATATACTCCGTTCAGGTATTAATAGCTTATAACTAATATTAGTCAAGATTTTTAATTGTGTTTGCATTTATTGTCTTGTTCAAAGTTTTGGCAAGAATAATTTTTATACGCCCGTTTACGGAACGTATTATGGTATATCCTTGTCCGTCCGTCTGTTCCTCCATCGTCAACATGTCTGAAAATAACTCAAAAACGCTTTAACTAATTTGAATGAAACTTTGGTGAATTGTTTATATCTATTGACGTGAGCTCTCTTTCGATTTTTAAAAATTTTATGTTTCCGAGTTATGGGGTTTTACTCATTAAAAAAGGGGGCTTTTCCAGTTTTCGGACAATAACTCAAAAGTGCTTTGAGCAGTTTAACATGAAACTTAGGTGATTGGTATATATTTTCTAAACTAATATCCCTTTAGTTTTTTTGATAAATTTCTGATATGACATCGAGTAGTTATGGAACTTATTCTTTGAAAAAGCAACGGGCGTATCATGAGCTCATGGCGCAGCTCTTTTTTTTTTAACAAAATGATCTTATGTTTAGCCTGACTCATTATGGCAATTAATAAAAAAAATAGTCTGTTTTTCAGAAACTGTTAAAAGTTAAAAAAAAATTATTGCAAACCATCCCAGGGTTGACAATATCTAACATCCTGTCTGCCATATGCATAAATTGTTTAAAAATAACATGACCCTACTTATTGAAACTGTAGAGCCAATAGAGACTGCATGTCAGTAAAATGATCAGAATGATTGTGGTTAATTTTGAAGATAATTTTAATGATAAAGTTATAAATTTTAGACAAAGACAATAATTGAACAATACAGGCTTTTTGGAGTCTCTTGTCTCAAATTTTGTATATCAAAAGCACTTATACAGCTAGCATCAGGCAATTTTTTTTTTAAATATATTTATTTTCAGATATAAAGGAACTAATCTTTATGTTAACAGATTCACCTGTGAGTATATGTTCAGTTTAGATAGAATTGGTGACATTTAAGGTGGCAGTTTAGTTTGTACCTTAAATAGGTAAAATCCTCAAACTAAATCACTTAATTACAGATTCTACTTTTTATTTTAAAATTCACAATAATTACTACATATAACTACTACCCATTTGACATATTGTTATTTAATGATACTAATTATACAACCATTACAACAGATAATTGTATTTATGTAATTTATATTGTTAGGGTATGATGTGTCGTCCATCCAGAGTTCGACAGATGTTTGCCTCTAGATTATGTAGAAAGTCAATAATGATTGGTACGGCACTAAATTAAGCTGAAATGAAAAAGGTAAGTTTAGTTGCGGTATCCAGCAGATATCATTTGATAGAAACATCATGCCTAATGTGAAGACATTCTAATGTTTTTCAACCTTCAACTAGAAGGTTAGATAAAGTGTCCTTCTTTTAGAAAATTGCAAAAAAGAGGAAATATCAAGTTGTAAACATTATATTAAGGTAAAACTTCAACTTTCTTTTAAATTATTTCCTAAGACTTTAGAATAAAAGAACAATTCACATTGTCAATACTACATTTGGAAATTCCAAGGAAACATTTAAAAAATTACCAGAATGTTACATTTATGGGCAGTATAAAAACTAACAAATATTAAACAATTGTGTGTGTGTGTGTGTGTGTGACCTTAAACTCGTTATTTCTATTTTTTACAGTTAGTTGAGCACATGGGCCAAATTGACCAGCCTTGGGTAGGTTTACATTAATTTTTGTTGCTGCTTGCTTATTAAAGAAATAATAAGACACTAAAATTAAGGCAATGAGCATAGTTGTCGATTCTGAAATGTACCAAAATAATATCAAAACTTCAATTCATAGGTACTGAAGGTAAAGCACCTGCATAGAATATGAAATCTTAAACTGTTATATAATCTAACTTTTTTTATTAAAAAATCTTATTTTAAATCTTTACAACTTGCAAACATAATTGTATAATATACAAATATGTCTTTGTATACTTGGTGTCATTTATATTAGTTCTAATATTAAAATTGAAATGCAAAAATCAATTATAACTTTTACATAACTTATTATAAAGACATGGAATTTGATTTTGAAAAGTTTACATTGTAAAGGAATGTTATATATAACCTGATACGAAGGACAGTATGACTTATTGCCATCACTTGACGTATGCCGTCAGTTGTCATCCTTTCATCCTCTTCAAGTACAGGGCTAATTGCAACGAAATTTTGCCACAAGCATCCTTGGAGTATCTTTTTAAAAAATAATATCCTATAAATCTGCTAGCAAAACAACATGGCAGCCTTGGCTAAAATAATAAAAAGCGGGGGAAAGGGAAGGGGGGGGAGGGAGTTAGATCTGAGTACTGTCTATTATCTTAAACAGCAAATTTGACCGGCAAGACAAGATCTACAACAATGATGACATGGTCAGTTGACATCTTATAGGAGTTATTCTAATGAAAGACAGTTTTAACACATTTTTTGCCTCTTTGCTATAATCTTGAAATCTAGAATAGATAGAGAGAAACTATATTCTGCAAAATTGACCAGTCAGTCAAACCAATGTTATAGTTATTGCTTTTAAGGAGAAGCATATGTAACTGGGTGGTATTTCAAATTTTTATGATTTTTTGTATGCATTTATAACGTGTGTAACTGCATCTGAACATCGACTACACATAAACTTACTTAATTACATGGCTAAGGCTTTAATCTTAAACAGGTAGATTACCACATATTATAGTTAACAACAGCAGACGAACTTGAAACTTACTGAAGTTTCATCAAATTACTTTTACGCTATTCAATTCAATTTGTTTCTTGAATTCCCCTGCTGAAAAAGGATGTGCTGATTATACATGATGAGGATTGTAAGACTTTTACGGTATCAAATAATGATTTTTAAAATGCAATAGATTAAAATTGAAATGATTTTGATGATACAATCTTGCACTTTCTCATGAATCAACAATGGCACAGAGTCTAAGTTAATAAATAAAGACTTGGCATTTCAATATGATTATTAATGAATTTTGATATACAATAGCAAGTTTCTTTTAACTATCAAGTGACACCAAATCCTTGTGTTTTAAAGTAACTGATATAAAAATAAGGAGATGCGGTATGATTGCCAATGAAACAACTATCCACCAAAGTTCAAATGAAGTGTTGGTATTTTGTAATGAAGTTTTGTGACTGTTGATAAAGGATCGAATCTTGTAGTTGTTCAAAAAGGAGAAACAAGCATATTGCTTAGTATATGGCAAATGTCTTTACCATCACCTTTCCAACTTTGATTATATAATATTGTGTACCGTAAACGAAACAAGCGTCTGGCATACCTAATCATAAGCTTGGTGTCTTTTGATGAATTTGAACTGAACTTTAGAATGTAGTACCTGCCTGTTTATTCTAAATATGACCAGTTTGTCTCTTTATCATTTAAGGTACTAGTAAAACATGCAATCAGATGATTGAAACTGGGTCTCATTGAAAAACAAAGTTACCAGATAACAAGAGGAAGATAAAAAAAATCATAAGTAAAAGAATGACACACAATACCATAGCCAAAAGGAAACAAGACAACAATTCTTCAAAACACTACACAGAAAACCTAACGTTGAACTTCTAAAATACCAGGAATGAACATGGTGCTCCTGAAGGGTAAACAGTTCCTCTAGTGAATACCATTGGCTGTTAATGACCAGTAAAGAGCACCACATTGAAGTCTAGTATATGTAAATATATGTTTTCTTATCAAATTTAAAACTTTACCTGGTAATATAATGTTATATGATAACCATATGGTAAGTGAAAGCTAAATCAGATTGGTTCGTGATTTATTTGCAGATAAGAAGATATTTAGATAAATACTGAATACTGATATGCATATCAAACTAAATTCTAAATTCTAAATATTAACTCTGCTGAATTAAATTTTTGAACAGAAGTGTCCACATGGAAGACCAACAATGAGACATTTAATTAACCTGAATATGGTTCCAAGACGTAACATTATGTACCACCAGAGATGTGTTCTGTTTTTTAAAGATATAAATTTTTAATAAAACATACATGTTATTATTGTTGTTTATTATAAACAAGTAGATGCATATTTGTATAATCGGTTGATTTAATTCAGTTAATTGCTCTTTGTAACTTAGAAAATTATCCTTAATGGTCAATAACTGTTCCCTGTTTGAAACACAGAATAATTTTACACCAAAATTTCATGCATTTTTTCATTTTTTCTAAATATCAGGTATTTCAATTGATTTAAAAAAACATGTTAATAAAATGGTTCATAAGATACCAGGACCCATTATCATAATACCTTATTAGTCCCCTTCCAACGAAGTCGAAGGGGACTCTAGGTTTGCACTCCGTCCGTCTCTGTCTGTCTGTCTGTCTGTCTGTCTGTCTGTCCGTCAGTCCGGCAAATCAGTTTTCCACACTTTTTTTCTTCGTGCTTGAAGATATTAATTTGATAATTGGTATATAATTTATCATGACAAGTTACAGAGGATTTTATGCAGAGTTATGGTCCTTGGACTTATAAAATTCACTCAAATAATCAGTTTTCCGCACTTTTTTACGTCATGCTTGAAGATATTGACTAGATATTTTTTTTATAGTTAACACAATGAAAAGTTATAGATCAAGTTAGCATTTTGTTCCAATGCAATGAATTTTAACCGGTAGCTATAGGGGACTATGTATTGCCATGCAATACTCTCAGAATGCTTGTTTTAAGTTAGATTTGAAGCATTTTTAAATTGAATTTTCTTGGATAATCTTCAGTGAATTTTTGTTAGATCTGTTGTAGTATTTACTATTTATGAAATAGGTTTTGCGAAATACATATATTGCTATACAATTATGAAAACTTCTGGTCCATCATCCTATTGATACTTTTATTTTGGTATTGCACATGATCATGTTTTTCTCAGACAGTTTATGATGGTTGTCTTTACACTAAATATTTTGGATATGTACTGATTGAAATTTAAGTATTGGAAGAGATGGTTTTTTTATTAGTTGAAACTGGCTTGGAATTAGCTTTCAGTATCTGTGAGCACTATAGGGCATACCATACAGTTTTGATCCCACAGTGATTTTTTTGCGAAAATTTGCGTACAAGCTATTTTTCACTTAATTAATTTAAATATGTAATAAAAATTATTCCTTCATGTGCTTAATTTAGAGATGAATGGGTCGCAATTTTAGACATTCACTTAAAATTTCGATTTCTTGTACATTTCTATCCTTTGGACAGACATACTAAACTTTTTTGTTTCAAAAGATAAACTCATGCGGATTTTTCTAATACGATTTGAAATATCTTAATTACAAAACTATGCTATTACTTTGTGTAACAATTTTATAAAAATGATTCATTTTTACTAACATTTCATGATTATAGTAAAAAAAAGGAATTTTTTGCTGCTTATTTTATCTAATTTAAACAAAAATCATTGGTGATTATTTAAAAAAAAAATTGGAACAGATAATCTTCATACAGTATCAAGTCATTTGTCATTTTAAAAAAGAGGGGTCCATGTACTCCTATTCAAGCTAATTCTAAAGAAAATCCCTCAAAAAATGCATCTTTTCCCGATAAGTCGCAGTTTGAGGTCGTGAAAAATAACATATTACGTTAGCAACGTCACTTCCTCCCCTGTAACTGTATCGTATGCCCTTAAGATAAGTACATTGTGTCTTTTTTCTTTTTGGATAAAGATTGCATGAAATGCAATCAAAACCCTATGGTACTGACTTGATATCTAAATCTTCCAAGGTTTATCACTAATTTTGAGATACACAAAATATAGTGCATTGATCAGAACATTCTATACATCATCTCCATGAACATTTCCAGAAATTTATCAATGAAATATATGCTAAGATATTCAAGTTACAAAATGATCTTATACTGGTCAAGACAATAACATGACTTGTGCAATGTGCAGAAATCTAGTATCTGTTCTAAAAATACCAATGATGTCATTGTTTAAGTAATCTTTAATATTGGAGTTATCTTCCTTTGTCCATAATTGTAGTCGAATCAACTACAACCAATGCAATGTTTAATTTTACTTCCCTCTGATAACTTAAAGCAATCTTTACCCTTCTGTGCTTACAAACACTTTGATTCTTAGGTTTGTGAGCTTCTTGTCTATCAGATTACTGTGAAAGTACTTTTATTCGTGGGGTACCAATTTTCGTGGTTTTCGTGGTGGCTTTATCCACGAATTTAAGTGTCCAACGAAATGAAACTACTCTTGTATAAAGCAAGACATAAAAAGATCCACTGTAGATTTGACTACAAGGAAAAGGGCTTATAATATAGAGAAACAAATCAACAAACATATTATGAAGTAACTTATGCAGTGGTGTAGCACCAGTGTAGCATGTACAACATTAGATAGGATTTTAATCTTACAATTACCTAAGTTGTACGACTTTTAACCTTTTTTATTCTCATGAAAAACTAGTTTTGAAAGATGAAAGTCAGACTTCCGGTGAAGATATACGATAATGAAGTGTTCATTTTATCTTCTCATAATTCTCAATAAAAAAAATCATATTTGGCATGCATTTTATTTCATAAGTATTATTTCATAAGAATTATTTGAAAGTACACTTGAGGCGTTTTTATGCAACCATTTTATTTAAATGATATGTGTATGGCCCAATTAACACCCTTGCTGATCGTTAATCTATTGATCATTCCATCTCTGGTTAATTAGTGTAAACACTTCTGATTACACTTCTGCACCAATTAAAATGTTTACTTTGCAACTTCCTTCAATAAGACAACTTGTATTCATAGATAAATCATCGTATTTCTGAAAGTAATTATTCTATTAAAAATTTGATGAATGTTGTTCGAACGAAGAACAAACATGTGAGCGAAAATGAACACCATATGATTATTTTAAAAAATGCTTGTTTCTAAATTATTCATCCGACTTTTTTACCAGAAAACTAAAATCCACGAATTTAAGAACACACGAACATGTAACTTTTGCTTAATCCACGAAAATTGATACCCACGAATTTAAGTACTTTCACAGTAGTTGATCCCTTTTCAACTGATTTTTACAGTTAGGTCTTTTTTTCTTTTACACCATTGTCCGAGGTTAGGGGAAGTGTTGAGCGCAGCAAACATGATTAATTTAGTAGTTTACTCATATTTAAAGCATGTAAATTAATTGAGAAGAGACAAACCAAGGTAACAAACATAAACAGGGAATGGAACGAATGCAGTGCATTGACAGCTATGCATGCATCACCCGTTATGCAAATTCTCACTCATTTAGGAGTAGAACACAATTGGTTAGATAACAGAATTCTGGTATCGTAACAGATCTTAGACCGGTAAAGCATATTGCTAGTTGGTTTAGACACCGACATTGTATCAGTCAACCAACTTGTGATGGTGACTTTAAAACTTATTTAGTGTCAATTTCAGGCGTTCTTCCTTATAACTCTGTTGGGGCAGTTTTTGTGTAAGGAGCACACCTCTGTTAATGATCATGAGGTACCTGTCACATTCTTTATGTGCCTGGCCCAAGTTAAGAGCCTGCCATTTCTTGTTTTTTTTTTGTTTAATATCTGCAATATTTATTTCATCTGTTAACTTTTACAAAAATCTTCTCCTGAAACTATCGAGCCAATTTAACCAAACTTGGCCACAATCGTCATTGGAATATCTAGTTTTAAAAATGTGTCCAACGACCCAGTTTGCCAACCAAGATGGCCGATGTGGTTAAAAATAGAACAAAGAGGTAAAATGCAAGTTTTGTCTATTATTTTGAAAACCACTATAAATAGAGAAAAATCTGATGGGGGCAAATAAATGCAACAGTAGTATACCGGTGTTCAAAAGTCATAAATCGATTGAGAGAAAAAAAATCCGGGTTACAAACCAAAACCGAGAGAAACACATCAACAATAGAAAAGAAAGGAACAACAGGAACACCAAAGTGCAACAAAAACAAACGCCAATACACATAGAAACGAACTGTTTGATAACAACTGCCATATTTCTGACTTGGTACAGGACATTTTAAGAAAAAATGGTGGGTTGAACCTGGTTTCATGGCATGCCAAACCTCCCGCAAAAATGTTCAAAATGTTGAGCTCAACCTATTGTATATGAACATCAAAACTGTCATATACAATTATAATAGATAGACAGATACTTTAAATAGCAAAAATGAATAGCAAGTCAAGATCTACAAATAAGTCAACATGACCAAAATCTTGAGTCACCTCTGTTTTAGAGTTATTAGAAATAAGAAGATGTGGTATGAGGGCCAATAAGACAACTCTCCATCCAAGTCACAATGTGTAAAAAATAAAAAAATTATAGGTCAAAGTACGGACTTCAACACGGAGCCTTGGCTCACACCGAACAGCAAGCTATAAAGGGCCCCAAAATGACTAGTGTAAAACAATTCAAATGGGTAAACCAATGGCCTAATCTATGTAAAAAACGAGAAACGAGAAACACTTTTGAACCACACCAACAAACGACATCCACTGAACAACAGGTTCCTGACTTAGGACAAGTGCAAACAAAATTACCCTATAATGACGATTTTTACCATTTTTATTGTTGCTATTTTTGCTCATATCTTAAAAAATATATTAGATAGATAGAAACTTTAAATAGCAAAAAAGATCAGCAAGACATGATCTTCAAATAAGACAAATGAACGAAATTGGTAGTCGACTCCTTATTTAAGTTATTGATCTTTAATGACGATTTTCCCCATTTTTGCCTATTATCTTGAAAACTGTAATAGATAGATAGATATAAACATTTAATAGCAAAAATGGATCAGCATGACAAGATCCACAAATAAGGAATAATGTTCGATATCTTCAGTCGACTCGTTATTGGGGTTCTTATCCTATTAGTGACAAGACATGATTATATCTAGTAGCTACATTGACTAGTAACCACATTTATTACATGACACAAGGAAAC